TCAAACAAATACAGAGAGCGCAGGAGTCCGCAGGAGATGTGCGTATGACTCAATCACATAGCTGGCGTCGGCATTCCGTTTCACCTGAAAGCGGGGGCACTCCGGTCCTGAGGGCCCAGGCCACCACAAATCGCAGGTGCCTTCCTCTTTCGCAATGACCTGCCGCAAAGGAAAGGCTGCTTGGTGATGGTGGCAGATCGATTATTTGATGAGATATTGCTGCATGATTTTGCTGACTTGCCTGTGATTTTGGATGATATCTGGGCTCGCTCGCTTTAGCTCCCACATGTTTGCCACCAAAAAAAAAAAATACAACTCCATAGTTTGGGGATCTTACATCAGTTTTCAGGATTTTTCAGGGAGTAAACATCCAATCTGTGTGCTTAAACCCAATGTTGGTTGCTCCAAACACCATTTGGGTCATAAAAAAATAATCTTATCCGATGCCATGAAAAACCTGGTGGTTAGTATATATCCCCTGGGCCAGGTAGTAAAACATAGTAAAACCCCAGAAATAACATGCGATCAAAACCCTCATAAGTTGGGGCCCATGAGTCAAACTGCCCAAAAAAAATTGGATCAATCCCTCCTTAAAAGGCATCAAATTGTCATATTTGATCATATTTGGGGGGCAACATCCTTAAAATTCCCCATCTCCTAGCCATCTCCTAGCCATCTCCTAGCCATCTCCTAGCCATCTCCTAGCCATCTCCTAGCCATCTCCTAGCCATCTCCTAGCCATCTCCTAGCCATAACTGCCATAACTTGCTGTGAACCCCGATTTCACATGATTTCACCAGCACCTCCGCCCTGAGAGACGGAAGGCCCTCGCGCGAGTACTCCACCAGGCTGCAGTGCCAAGGAAAATGGGGGAGGGTTTGAAGACCTAATCATTGGTAAATCATGGTGAGTTGCCTAGATTTTCGTGGGGATTCATAGGCCATAGGTTTGATACCATTTGTAGTTAGCTAAGCTGGTTTACAAGTAGGTTGGCTAGCCATGACGTTAAATATATGCCAAATATGACTACAGTTTGATGGATTGAAATAACATTTTTTCTAAGGGGAGACCACCTGGTACGGGACCATCTTCGTGAGGGTCTTGACAGTTTTGCCATCTGTTTTCTACCATGGATTACCAATGGGAAATATAAGGGCACTCCTGCGCTTTTTTTGCTATAACAGTGGCACTTCCTTGCCATGATTGATGACCAAATGGTATCCGAAACAAAATCCAATCCCACCTAGCCACTATCACGCACACAACGTTCTGCTTATAGATTCAGACTCGCAATAATTGGACAAACAAGCGCAAATGCAGATATGCTTATATATCATGTCATGTGCGATTTGTATACATATATGTGTATAATGGATGTGTTTGTGGTTTATCCATTTGCAAATTCTTATGCATATACATCTATGTATATACATATATATATCTCTCTCTCCCCATCGCCACATATATATATATATATACATATGTGTGTGTGTGTAAATAAATAAATAAATAAATAAATAACCGAATTCTCTCCCTGCAGAATATTTCAGGGAAATTATATGCACAGGACGCACACTCATATATCTGGAGATATGTATACATCTATATATATATATATGTATGCATGCATGTATGTATATATATATATGTATATATACACATTCCGGAGATTTTTATTTGCTCCCAGGCTACACGCATATGTATATACGTGTGTATTATTCATGAGTGCATTTGATTTACATTTATATAAGTTAATATGTCAGAAATATGAATGCTGAAATGTAGATCCATATCATGCCATATCTATATGTATATATTCACAATATATCAATAATAATAATAATGATAATAATAATAATATATAATATATAATAATATATAATAATATATAATAATATATAATAATATAATATATCACATATTTTAGTCCCATCACACGTCTGTTTCAGGCCCACCTGCCAACGCTGATCTGACGCCAGGCATCCTCGGCCTTCACCAGATCGCTGGCACGGGCCTGGCGATGCGGCGATGCGATGTTTTGAGGTGCCCTGGAAAATCCCTATGAAAACCTGAAGAAATTGGATTTCTTAGGCAATTTGCTTGGACATCTTTGGAATCTTTGGATTTTTGACTCGGAAATTCATGTGGACATGTTGAATTGGGGAGTTTGTTTGAATGGAAAGCCGCCCTTTTTGGCCATCTAATATTTGATAAAAATCGCATATATTATCATATATTGCTTGATTGATTGATTGACTGATTGGAAAAATCCATAAAAATTCGCGAAACCGCCTACCATCAGCCGTTTGCGAATGGCTTACCATTGAAAGATCTTCAAATTCTCCATGCGCACAGGACGCCGCGCCTCCTCCAGGCCTGGCACAGATGTTTCACATGTCATGATGAACAACGGTGTTGATATGTGTTGTTTAACGCATCCATCATGGAGATTTACCACCAACCATTGGGAGATGATATATATATAATATTATTATTATTATTGTTAATATTATTTGTATTATTACTATTATTATTATTATATTATATAGTGTTATATGCGTATGTATATATATATGTGTGTGTGTATGTATATATATATATGTGTGTGTGTGTACATATGTGTTATGATGTGATTGTGCCATCCCTACCATCCAGAAAATTCCTGTCTGACATGAATCAATGGATGTGGGCCATCTTCGGTTGTCATGCAGCCGATCTTCAGGGCAGCGCTGCAAGCCGCAGCTGAATTCCCTAAGACAAGAATTGAATTACTTTCCGGCCTGCCATTTTGGGAAACCTCATGTATGGTATAGCTGGCAGTTCGAAATCACTCAAAATCTAAGCAAACATCCCAGACATTGCAGCATCGGATGATCTCAAGATATCTCAAGTCTGCAGCTGTACACTGCGCCCGCCTTTCATGGTTGCTGCTTCGAAACCACCCAGCCAGCGATTGAGCACCGGCCTGACGCTCAACATTCCGGGGGGGGTTCTTAAGATGGGGCATCCCCAAAACCATAGGTTTCAATACTGAAATAGTCAATCTTTTGGATGATTTGGAGGTCCCTCCATTTTAGGAAGCCTCCAAGTAGAAATACAGAAGCGTAGATTCGGACCTACCCTCTAGCCTATATCTACTCTGGGCGTTTGCCCGGCCTTTCCTTGCATCTCCTGCAACTCATCGTTCATACTCCCATACAGGTGCATGTACGAACGAGATCTGAAAACAATAAAAAAGAAAAGAAGCTAAGAATGACAAGATATGAAGACGTTTCGCAACACTTGGGCGATGGTCCCAGCCAGTCCCTCGGACAATCATACTTCCTAACTTTAGATCACTAAGTTACTAAGAACTGCTGCCTGGGATAAGTATACATGTATATGTACAATTCCATACACACACACACACGATATATATATATATATACACAATTCCTCCAAATTCATTTCCTTCCCTCCCTTTTTTCGAACCAATCCACGTGGGGTCAGTGGCTAGCGGGGAACGCCCCGGCACAACATACCATTTCGGGATTCCCACAGCCAGCACCATATGTACAACACGCCCTCCAAGGGGAAAGAAAAGGGGCATATGGATGGCCAAAGCCTTCGAGCATTTGATGTAGCCATGAAACTGTGACAAGGGTATGAGCCCATCACCAGAAAAGAATCCAATAGTTGCCAGTCGCTCTAAGGAGTTCTTGCACTGGTAGAATTACTGCAGGAACCCATGGGAACCCCCATCGGCTTGGTGACAAAGACAATCGGTTCCTGTAAGTTTCCTTTTAAGATCACCTGTTAGCCAGTCCAGAAATCAGGTATACCAGGGCATACGCCAAAAAAATCAAAGAAATGCGCAAATGATGTTCTAAATCCAGTGGATGTCGGATGACTTCTGGGTGGTTCTCAAATGCTTTCCTTCAATTTTCAAACGGACCTGGAATGACCTGGACCTTGAATGTCTTGAATTCTCCAATGGTTTCCATATGTTTCCATCGTCATTCGCTTCAGCTTCCATCCAACACCGCCTGATGCGCACGCGCATATTCTGCAAAGACGCCATCCTGCGCTGCGAGCTCAGCCGGGGATCCCTCCTCCACCAGCTGCCCTTCTTGGAGGACCAGCAGTCGATCAGCACGCGCCAAGTTGGAAAGACGATGGGCCACGCAGATCACCGTGAGGCCTCATGGCTGTGCTAGATGCGACTAGGGGCGACTATGACTAGGGAAAAAGGCCCCATGGTTTTGACACGATTTACCGTCTCCCACTTTCGATCAATGGGAAGTTTGGTTTGAGATGCAAAATGTTGTTCGACATGGCAGTGATTTCCAAATTTTGTTGGCTTCATGTTGAAGCCTGGGTGTGGACTCCAAAAAATCTATAGAATCTAGATTCTAGGAAAAAAAGCCTTGTTCCAAACCAAGGTGCCCTGCTGTTGGCGCAGTTTCTCGATTTCATCTTGCAGTCGCGCCTGCAATTCCGCAAAAGGACCGAGTTGGGATTTTTATGGATTTCTAATGATTTCTAATCCGCCAGTGCAAGGCCATGAAGTTGATAGTCTTCCAGTCTTCCCCATCCCCATCCCCAAGCCATCCCCATCCTGCGAGATCTCGTCCAATGCCGACGTTGCTTCGTCCAAAATCAGCAGCCGCGGTTGCTTCACCACGGCCCGTGCCACCGCCAGGCGCTGCTTCTCGCCGCCGCTCAGATCGCTGCCGCTGTTGCCCACGTCGGTGTGCCAAAGGTTGGGGAAGGCTTCGGCGTTGAAGAAGGTGTCCTGGTTGGATTTATGGTTCTCAGGGGGCACCAGTGATTTTCAACATGGCTGCCTAGCAATTCCCATGGGAATGGGCGGGGTTGATGGGAAACTCAGCTATAAATGGGAGATTATGCATTGCCAAATCAAAATGATGACACCAAAATCTCATGTTTAATAGTAGGGAGTCATCCAATTCGGGGATTGTTTACTGACCCAAAGCCAAAAGTCATTAAAATGGATTATGTATAACATGCGGTGACATTTATGGGAAGTAATGGTTGGCTCATGGGGGTATGATATCTCCATCGGGGCATAAACAACAAGACTAATTATTGTGGTTGACAGTGGTTGGTTTGTAGAGTGTGAGCATGGTCCTAATTTCTGTAGATTCCTATTATCGTATATGGCGGGAGTATATGGATTGTGGCTGTTTTGGACTAATCACAATCCCCGATGACAAGCGGAAGTTACTCGGGAGAACCCCAGCATTACCTGGTGGTTAAGCCACCCATCCCAAAACAAAACGGTCAATTGGGCGGGATAAGTTGGGATCCCAACAATTTCAGGCTGGATGGTGTTGGATCAGAAATGAAGAGTTGGAACACCGCCCAGCCAATTGTTGGATCATAATGTTGGTCCTTTGGATTCATGAGATTCAGTTTGACTATGTGTGAAACCCCTAGAGATGGCGTGTATAACTGTATAACTGTATAACCGTCCATACATCACAGATGTGCATGTTTGTCTAAATTCCAGCTGACACTTCAAATCCGAAAAGTATAAATACTGTATGCATATAGCAAATGATATTGGTACTTGTAGGTGTCCTAAAATGGTGGTACCCAAAAAATTACCCACTGTAATCACCCACTGCAATTGATAGGATTTTCCACTATAAACAATCCATTTTAGGATACCCCCATTTATGGAAACCGCCATTTATATTACATGCCCAAGATGGATCTGCCCTGCGCAGATCTTCCCCGTGCCTCACATTGCGCGACCCGGAGCGCCCTACGTGCGCAGGCGTCACTCGGCTCGAGGGCTGTGCCGTCAAAGGAGCCGCAGCCGTAGAGCAGGTTCTCGCGGATGGTGCGGTTGCATAAGACCAAGTCCTGGAGCAGGAGATGAAGAGGTTGATGATTACTTAAATTGCTGGTTTTATAATGATTCTTTAAAAAATCAATAGGCGCAATAAACCACTTAATGATGACTATAAGATGATGGTTATTGATTTGTTTTCAATGATCGATTGATGGGTTTTACGGCTATTGATTAAAAAACGCTTAATTAAGTAGTGCGATCATCTTTGGTGGATGACGATGGTGATGGTGATGGTGATGGTGATGGTGATGGTGGTGGTGATGATGATGATGATGATGACGGATGATGGAAGCTGGATGATGGATGATGGATGATGGATGATAGATGGTGGATGGTGGATGGTGGATGGTGGATGATGGATGATGGATGATGGATAGGTTATGTTCGTGTATGTTCATATGGGCGTATGTAAATGTAAACACATATCGATCTACCTCATCCAATAAAATGTGACCTTATCTGATCTATCACTCTCGAATCTTCATGATAGTTAATAGCTACGTGATGTATATAGTTGATTCCGAATACCCTCCGGTAAACGAACATGGCAAGTAAAAAATACCCATTTCATTCGATGTATGATGGGAAAATCATCAACTGCGAGTCTTGCTTCGGCATTCAAGCTTTTGCTGCCCTCACCCATGAACCCAATCACATTCTCCAAACAGTCTCATTTTGTCACCAATTTATTATCATCTTTTGCCATCTGTCTCATGATTCTTTGTTTGTGAATGGTGCATTTATAATATATGCTACAGTATACTTCTCCACCCTGTTCCATCTCTGTGAGGGGAAAAAAACTACATAATTATTCATACTGACCTTGAACAACACCGGTTTCAATTTGAACGCAGCGCGGTGTCCTGACTGACAAAGCCAATGTGGTGGCGCAACCACAAGGGATTGTACTCCTTGATGTCCTTCCCATCGAGCAGGATTTGGCCGCTACTTGGCTCATAGAGCCGAAGAATCAGTGACAGAATCGTGGATTTTCCAGATCCAGTTGTTCCCAAAATGCCTCAGCAAGAAGGCGGATATCCATCTGCCCAGCCTTTTCTGTGGTCCATCCCTTCCAAATTGAAATCTCATAAATGGATACGTGGATGGTCTTGGTGGCCGTAAGCTCACTTGCATATTCACATCAGTATGCGTATGGCGTAGGTCCACACACACACACACACACGCATAGACACACACCCACTGAGCCCACTAACAGCACCTGGTGACGTAATGAAGCCAAAGTCATCTCATTTCGTAACCTTTTGTCCTCTCACTGACTGATTTCCCGACTTATTCCCTTCATCCTCACAACTTCTCCCTAGTTTCTCATTGCTTTATATCATTTTATCAGCAAAAAGAGTTAGACAATCAACCTAAACTCCAAGCCAAGTGTCCCAAGAATTCTCCCTGGTGCACCTGGAAGCTCAAATCCTTCAAAATCTCCACCCCCCGCTGCTGATAGGAGAAATTCACCTTGCGAAACTCCAGGCTCCACTTCACCTCCCCAGCCTTAGGCATGGAGCCCAAGGGTGGCCGATCCAAACCTCAGGTCGCGCAGGTCGTGCAGGTCTTAGTGGCTCCTGGTGATTTTGGGGGTCCAATATGTTTGATATTGGGCTACTGCTTGCAGCTGTTTTTGGGGTTGGGTGAGCAACAAATCGACTAAGTCGATGACCCAAAGATCCACTAAAATCAGGCCATAGTTGGGACACCAAGGCACCAATCTTGGGACGCCTGGATAGCAGTTGGGCCATCTGCGCCATGGGTCCGAGAGCCTTAGGAGGGGATGTCTACAAAGGCGTGGCAGAAACGGGCAGAAATTAGAAACGTAAAAAAAGAGAATTAATCATACGACATATATAGATAGATATAGATACTATATACATCTACTTATTGATGTGATGTATATGTATTGGATCCAGATTGTGTGACCACATTTTTTTTTAGATGAGCCCCAGCGTTGATGAATTTGGTCAAAAACTGAGCCACTGTGAAGCACAAAAAATTGGTCAGTAAATAAAAGTGGTAAATAAAAGTGGTAAAGCATCTAATGATCCAATCTTGAAGTACCCAGTTGTGACCCAAATCCATCTGATTCCAGGAGGCTTGCTTGGAGACGTTGGCAGCAGCTGCCTGCGCAAACCTGTTGCAGATCGAGCAGATTTGTGCGGATCCAAAATCTCGATGCTGGACACAATCCATGGTTCGTTTCAAAAGATGAAAGAACATTATATTGATAAGAACAGAGCACACACATGGCAGTTTTTGTCATGTTTTACATACACATGGCAGTTTTATCATGGTTTAAAGATGTTTAAACCATGTTGTATCCCATCTTCACCTCGCTCCATCGAAGGCGTTCTGGGCCACCAGAACTGCCGAGGAGAGCTCCCCGAAATCCATCTGTCCACGCAAGGCCAAGCGTCCACCGTACCAAAGGGTCACAATTTCCAGGGCGTGTTCCAGCAAATTCCTGGGCTTCATCTTGGCTGTTTGGGTTGTCATGTGTTCCATGTCCAATGGATGAACCAATTGATGCTGGCTTGACCAACAAGGAAACTGTTTGAAACGAGAAAGTGTTTCTTTGCAGGATCTTTGCCCTTGTTTGGGTTGTAGAAGGCGTTTTTGGCATTGTATTTGTATAGTATAGTATAGTCATGAAAAAATCTGGAGGCGGCATAGAAAATGCCTGGTCGTTGCTGGCGGGTGCGAAATTAACAAGTGGACACATGGGATATAATAGAAAGAGCAAACACAAGCGATGGGGGTAGAAAGGTAGAACCTAAATGAACCTAATATGTGCTGAAGATTGAGTGAACAACAAAAAATCCCGCTGGAACTGAGAAGCTGTAACATAATTGCACCACATTGACCGCATGATTTTAAGTAAAACCGCATGGAAATCCAAAAGGGTGCGAACAAAACTGGCACCTACTGTCACCCTTCGCTTCGACCCGGCTCCTCCATCAACTCCAATTGCCAAATCAGAAACATGGCTAGGTTATAGAATCCAAGCTCCCAAAAATCGAAAGGATTGCATAAAACTTCGAAATGACCATTGTTCCACCCATTTAATGGGGCCAGCTCGGCCACGGAGAGCCACCGATCCTCAGGAGCGAGGCGCTGAAAAGGTTGCATCAATCGGAAGATCAGCATCTTCCGCTGCTGTAACTCTTCATGCACCTGTCCCAGCTGTCGTTCAGAACGACTGGTGGCCAAGTTGGGGATGGAAATCACCGCCATATGCGGTATCCAACTATATATCTGGATAAATTTTTCAGATGACTGTGTATGCAAACGTCGTGGTCACCTACCATTTTGAGCTAGCAGCTAAATAGGGTGCACGAAATTTGGGCTGGTTCTCAGCCTCTATATTGCGGCATGAGGCGAAGGTAAGACCTACCGACAATGGGAACTAGCCACCCATGTGGCAAGCCACGCAAGCCACTACTAGTACCTTTTAATGAGCGATTGAGGAGACATTGGGTCCTGTTCAGAACATATACTAGATGAATTCGAAGAGGTGTACAAGTCGGTGGTGTCTATTTTGCGGCACACTGCCCGTGAACTTTTGCCGAAAATCATCAGAACTCAGCAGCTATGTTGAAAGCAAACCGAATCAACCATCACAACTGAACTCATCATTCATTTTCCAGTTATTTTGATGATTGATTACCATCTGGTAAACTAACATAGCTACTGAAAATGGCCATTTATAGTTGATTTACCCATTGAAAATGATGATTGTCCATAGTTATGTTAGTTTACCGAAGGGTAAAAACATCCCAGTTGATGATTTGTTATGTTGAACCATCAACGATTTCCCATCTGGTTATTTAACATAGCCATGGTATAGATGGCCCATTTATAGATGGTTTACCTATTAAAAATTGTGATTTTCCATGGCTATGTTAAATAACCAGATGGGAAAGCCATCCCATCCATCCCATCCTCCCGGCCCCACCGCCAGGAAGCGCGTGAAGGTCCCCAGCTCCAGAGGCTCTCGGGCGAAGGCGCGCATGGTGCGCAGGGAGGCGGGCCGCACCAAGCTGCTCCAACCTGGGCTCCCTGGAAAGGTGATGAGCACTGCAGAAATGATAGAAAATCATGGTAAATAATGGTAAGTAATGGTAAATTTACCATTATTTACCATTATTTAATGGTAAATTTACCATTTAATGATAAATAATGATAAATAATGGTAAATTATCTATAATTGCTGATTATTATTATTATTATATAATGGTTGATTATTATAATTATCTATATATGGTAAATAATATAAAATCATAATGGTTGATTATTACCCAGGATATCATAATGATGGTCATAATGGTAAATCATCAACCCAGGATAAATCATGATATTGATGAATAATGATGATGATTGAAAGTAAGTAGCCATGGCAATAGCAATGCTATTGGCAATAGTAGTGAGATTGTCAGAAACGTACTAATGGTTTAACAAAAAAGATAGTGACAATCCTGTTGAGGTGTCTTGTTTCCAATGATGATAATCATGATAACAATAATAGTGTTGCTAGTAAATAATAACGATGACAACTACAGGCTTCTGGATGGAACCAAAATTGAAAAGGTCAAGCTAGTTGAAATAGTGGGGTCAAAAGGGTATATAGGGTATGCAGCTGTCGGGCGGTGGGTCAACATGACAGAAATCCGCAGGATGAAGATTGTCTTCCTTCCAAGTCATCGCAACCAAGACCTTTTTTTGCCTCCAAATCTCCCATTGCATCCGCGTTATTGATGTTTCGATCACAATCTTTGATGCTTTAATCCCAAACAATTGCCGCCAATTATATATATATATATATCCACCTCATTTAAAATATATGTTTGATGTTTAGATTATTAACTGTTATTAGCAATTATTAACTATCATTAACCATTATTTCATGTGTCTATATTATAATAATTATTATTGTTACAGATTATTACTAACCATTATTAACCACCACATGTATATATATATAGTATATAGTAATATAGTTATATATAAATTAATATATATATATTATATATATATATAGTTATATATACTATATACAAATCAATGCCAGATCTCCAGGTCCCAAGGTCCCAGTGGGTCCCAGTGGCAGCTGTTGATCTGTCCCTTGAAATCCGGCAGCGACGAACGCAGCTCCAGGCGCTCCTCCAGATGCTGCAGCAGTCGCTGCAGCACGAAGCGACTGGGCAGCCTCAGATGGACGACTGGGGAGCAGTTGAAATAAACCCCCCATGAAAAATGCAGGGAAAATCATGGGAAAAAAAGGCCAAAAAATCCCCATGATCATGAAAATTGGAGATATAATGATATAACTGTAATAATCACCACCATAAGTTGGGATTGTTCAATTATAGCTGGAACTGCACGCCCAAGTACCCACCGGTGGAAGCTATGGAAGGTGATTGTGCCCTTGCTGTTCCTTGAGGCAAAACAACCAAAGTAAAAATGGAATTGAAAGTTGTTTGTACTCCGTATCATATAGGTATTAGATTTCTATTGGATGTTCATGATTTCAATCTATTTCCTCCCAGACTATCCAAAGGTCTACTGGGCTACTGGTGATTTCACCATAGTTCAGCCAATTTCAGCCCTCATGTTCTAGAGTTCTTGATGATTTGGCAGTCAAAACCCTGGAATAATTTAGTTTTTCACCCAATAAAACCGTCATCCCCAAATCTCTCACTCACAAAATAGTACTTGGTTGATAGATGTGTCCAATACATAGATGATTGAATCAGAAATGGCCTTGAACTATTTATAGTTATTTATAATTATATAATTATATATAATTATATATATATCCCATAAACCTCCTAGTTCTAGCAACCAATCAAGCAGGCTATAGCTCCATAGCTCAACATAGCTGGCCAGCCAGGCCGCATGAGCGCCAGGAGCCCGGCCAGGCGCCCGTTGATCCGCCCCAGCGTCAGCACCGCCGTCAGCAGACGCACCGAGGCCTCCACCAAGGTGGCTGGGAAGTCCACCACCTGCAGGGAGGTCGACCACGGTCCACCGAAACATGGAGTCCTAAAATGGGAGCCATGCGTACCCCAAGAGCTGGAGGGTTCTAAGATGGAAAATCTATGATCCGATATTATCGATTAATTATGTCGTATTAAAATATCTTAAAAGGGATGATTTGGGGGTATCCCCATTTTAGGAAACCTCCAAATGGTGGTTTAACCTTAATTGAATCTAGTTATAGAATGGGGATTTACTAGGCCGCCTGAGAGATGGTGGTTCCACAGCTGCCAATCAGAGATCGCAGTTGCCAAAGGTCACCTGGGAGCCGATAGATGCGAAAACGCTTGGCTGTACCCAAGAAATCATGGCTTAGCACCAAAAATATCAAAAGCATCATCCCCCAAAAAAAAAACACCAACCGAAATCTGTGGTTTTTCGCTCTTAAAATGATTTAAAATGTTGCCACACACACCCGTGTCCAAGGGGCACTGCTCCAGGTACTCCAAATCTTGTCGCAGCAGTGCACCAAAAAGAGCCACTTTCAGCTCCTGCGATGGGATATGCCGCCCCTTGCTGTACAGAGGTGCAAGAATGAACAGATCATGCCGTGTGCCTCTGTGACCGCCTAATAGTCACTGCAAAGCGACAAACGGATCTGAAAGGCTTGCAATTCTTGATAAACTCTGGTAAACTAACATAACTATGGAAAATCACCATTTTCAATGGGAAAATCCACTATAAATGGTCATTTTCAATAGCTATGTTAAATTACCAGAGGGTAAACTCCCATGCACATGTTTACTTAAGAAGGGGTGGTCAATAATTGCTTGACGGCTGCTGTGAAGCCCAGCTCCATTGGAACCACCCGGCTCCACAGCAGCGGTGAGCGCCCAACTTTAATCTAGAATCTAGAAAACTTCACTTAGAACGGTCTCATTGTTGGATATAATGGATATATATATATATAATTATATATATATTACATAATTGTATGTATATATGAGCAGGGACCCTCACACCCCCCCCCTCCCCCAGCCAGATGGTTCCCCCCCCCTGTGGCAGGGGAGGGGGGTTTTCTCAGCAGCCAAGCCGATATACGCAAAATATATAGCTCAGTGCAAGGAGTGTGCCAGCAATGTCCAAGGTACTGCGTGAGCAGCACTGGTGAGTATACATAGAAATCATGGTGTATGTAGTCTTTATAGTGCATATAGTGCATATAGTGCATATGTATCGATAATTAGAATGGATATACTATATGTAATATAGAGTGTGTGTGTGGTGTATATATATAAACATATATATATATATAATATGTAAGATATAAATAGAATATATGCAATATATATATATGTAATATATATATATATATATATATTTTTTACATATATATATATATATTGAATATATATATATAGATATATCGAATATGTGGATTTTGATAGAATATAGATAGTATATGCCACATGTACTGTATCCACAGTAGATGTAATATATACAATATAGGTAAATATGTTCGTTGAATAAATTTTACATAGTATATGTGGTATATTGAATATCGACAGCAATACACGCTGTATATCTAGAGTTTATGTATATGTATATATATATATATACGTGTACAGTATGTACAATGTAAACGAACTATGTGATAGATACAAGATCAAGATATCAATATGTAGTATCTAGAATGTGCATATGTATATATTTACATATATATATATTTACATATATATATATATTGTTTTTCTACTGTACATATGTCTAGGTTTGCATAGGTAAGCTTTACGTAATCCATAGGTAGCAAATATGTTGTCAACCATGTGCGAGGCACGCTATAGGCGGTTCGAAAAAAAGGTTATGATAGAAATATACAGGTAGACAAGGTCCGTTGACGAGGTCGTGGCTCTGACTCAAGTGCTGCAAATAACGTAGAGATGCGAGGGTGGAGGGGTGGAAAGGGGAGTCTATATGTGTATATGTGTATGTATATGTGCAAATAACATGCAATACGGTTTTTGGGGGGTGGGGGGGTTAGGAGTGCGGGGGGGATACCATTGGGGGTTGAGGGGGGGGGGTGTGGGGCCGGACCGGGCTCATATATATATATATATATGTGTGTGTGTGTATATATTAAATATTATTTGGTTATTGGCTGACGGGTCATTGTTGGGTATCCAAAAAATCCACGGTGAAAACAAAACGACCGGTTCGTCCGCGGTCTGGTGGTGTCAAACCCCTAGATGGATGCACAGAGATCCCCGTTCGCATGACTCACCCTGAAGACGCACCTATACGCTATACCCTCCCCCAAAAAAAAACTGAAGTGCAGCAAGATTACCACCAAGAAGGTACATTAAGGTATTGCATTAATAATCCATAATAATCCCTCATTTATGGGCCCGAGAAAGAACATGAACTAACCATTCACAGGACTGCCTGCACCACCTTGGTCTTCCCCCGCAGGGTCAGCCGTCCACGGGCAAACTCCGCCAGCTGCACGATCATCTCGCTGACCACCATAGCACCCACCGTCTCCTACACACAAACCGGTTGGCACCCGGTGGGGAAACATGGGAAAAATATGGAAACATATGGAAGAATCCAGCGTTGCTTAGTGGTTGATGTGGTTCATGGTTTAGAAACCCATGTTCCTTATTGATATGATATGATTTGATGGCTTTTTCGCGGGGTGTGCTCCAATTTTGGACAAAGCCATCTTTAAGTGATCAATGGATCAGCTATGATCAGCTTTGTCATCCCATTACGTCAGAATCCACCCCCATCCAGCTTTGGCTCTAGGAATGAGGCACCAATGGGCCCACAAACGTTTGGCCATTTTAAGTACTATTCGCCACCCATGTTTTGGCTAAACAATTATAGAAATAATTGTGATTTCAAGCTTTTACGTACTCTCTCTCTCTCTCTCGGGGCTCTCTCTCCCCATCGCCCTCTAAGTACTGTACATTGTACTATTCACATCTGACTCAATGACCCTCCAATTCTTGAGCATCAAGATGGGTCAAGACCCTTCGAGCCACATCCAGCCATCCGCTTCCTCAATTGAGCCGGGCCGGGTCGGCATTGAAGTCTTCGAGGAGACCACCGCATCCTTGGCCAAGTTGATCACGGCGGCTTGGTAGTGGTAACGCATGGCCGAGAAGGCGCCTACGGAGGATGTAAGAGAGGGAGAAAAATCACCTGGGAAATCTGGAAATCTCCACCTCAGGGAGCTTGAAGCTGTAAGCAAGAAAAAGGGGAGGTGCAACCAAGATGGTAAGTGGCAGCAGTGGGCAGCCATACTTCCTGTAATTAGCTGCTTTGATGCGACCTATCCATGCTGATGAAGCACGTGTTTTGTTGTTGGATGATCACCTGGGCCATCACCAGGCTCGTGTGAAGGTCGCTGACGGAAGAATTTCCAGGTTGAGGTGGTGGAGAGGCTGTGTTGTCAACAAAGCTGGTGATAAAATCACAGGTCTTTAAGTAATCTGGTGGTCTCTCTCAACAAATCTGGGAATCAACCTACTGGCCCGCGCTATTCCATCACACCCGACCCGCCTAGAACCATTGACAGCAGGGATGAAAGAGCAACAAAGGGCAAGGTACTTTTGAAGCGCCAGAGCAACCCAGCAACACACCTCACAGGCAAGATGAAGCACTGACAATCCAACTGCATTTGGCTTGGAGTAGCACGGGTGTGGGGGAATACACCTTCCAACATCTTCCAACCGCATAAGTGTTGAAATGATGTTCCATTCGAGCGAACCGTGGGGCTGTGGGGGAACATAACCATCAAACTGGGGCTCCACATCAGATGGGGACCGCCCCACCTCCACTGCTCCATCCGTCTGCGTTGGATCAGCCGTTCGGCGCGCCACAAGGGCTCCGCGAAGAGTTCCCGCAGCCGCGAACAGCTCGCGAAGGGCAGCCGTGCGCGAAGAATCTCCAGGAACTCCTGGAAGGTGGCGAACTAGGTGAACCAACTGGACTTCACCAATTTATATAGCTAACATTGAGTGGGTTGTTAAAAACTATAAACATCTATAAACTATACTTCGATACTTTACAGTCACTATACTTGTGACCATGTCATACCCATAGTTGTGTTTAGAGTCATTATAATCATAAGTATAAAGTTAGATGGGGTTATAAACCAACGTATAACTAGGGGGCACCACCTTGTAGAATGGTAGATGGATGGAAATAATTGAAACTGTTCTGGGGATGGCATGGGGATCAATGGGGATTTTAAAATTTAACCATCAAAATGGGGACATGATGGGATTTACTAACCAAAAGAAATATACAGAAATACCATATAATTCGGGGCCATGGTTTTGATACCCATCAGACGGACACATTGGGTAAAGACGAGTTGGTGAGGCATTATGGTTTTGAATATTTTCATCATTGGCTTTACCACAGTATCTTCCAAGTCCGACCCGCATGTTCACCGTCTCCTCTGCTTCGGCAACGCGCTGTTGCAGATTGTCACCTGAATCAAACCAGGGGCACCTGTTTTCCACTCATGTTCAATACTCAGAAAATGCCACTGTTACATGTTTTTGGTGGTATATAATAGGGGGGATATGTGTTTCCTCCACTCATGGCAAGGCGGCAGCCTATGTAATAAGTGTGTATACATATATACATATATACTATACCATTTGCAATGGGCATATGCAGTATGTGTATATATATATATATAATTATATATAATTATGTGTGTGTGTGTGACATACCGGGCTCTTCAAATAACAGCCATCCACATGAAACCACAGAGATACCTTGCTTACCCGGCTTACCCCCGCACCCCCCAAGTGCAAAGTTGTGATCGGAAGTGCCGAGCATCATCAACAGAAATGGTTGTTCCCCACCTGCCAGGTGAGGGTTGTTAGATTTTATGTCAGTTGCTTCCTCCTCGTCCTCCTCGTCCTCCTCGTCCTCGTCCTCCTCCTTCTCCTCCCTCTTCTCGTCCTCCTTCTCCTCCTCCTCCTCCTCGTCCTCCTCGTCCTCCTCCTGCTCCACTGCGATCCATGTCAGTGTGCCCTGCCGGACCTCAACCACGACCATCGACGTCAGTGTGCCCTGCCGGACCTCAACCACGACCATCCAAGCCCAGTGTTCCCTGCCGGACCTCAACCACGACCATCCACGCCCAGTGTTCCCTGCCGGACCTCAACCACGACCAGCCACGCCCAGTGTTCCCTGCCGGACCTCAACCACGACCATCCACGCCCAGTGTTCCCTGCCGGACCTCAACCACGAGTATCCACGCCAAGTGTTCCCTGCCGGACCTCATGTAGGAAGATATGGGACAAAGAATGTGCAGAAGAAAGTTAGAAAGAATGTCAGAAAGAATGTCAGAAGATATGCCAGAAGATATGCCAGATAGAATGCCAAATAGAATGCCAGATAGAATGCCAGAAGATATGTCAGAATATATGCCAGAAGATATGCCAGATAGAATGCCAGATAATATGCCAGAAGATATGCCTAGATAGAATGCCAGAAGATATGTCAGATAGAATGCCAGAAGATATGCCAGATAGAATGCCAGAAGATTTGCCAGATAGAATGCCAGAAGATATGCCAGAAGATATGCCAGAAGATATGCCAGAAGATATGTCAGATAGAATGCCAGATATGTCAGAATATATGCCAGAAGATATGCCAGATAGAATGCCGGATAGAATGCCAGAAGATATGTCAGATAGAATGTCAGAAGATATGCCAGATAGAATGCATCAGATTTGCCAGATAGAATGCCAGAAGATATGTCAGATAGAATGCCAGAAGATATGCCAGATAGAATGCCAGAAGATTTGCCAGATAGAATGCCACAAGAAAATGCCAGAAGATATGCCAGATAGAATGCCAGAAGATATGTCAGATAGAATGCCAGAAGATTTGCCAGTAAGAAAATCTATAAATGTCATGGTGGGGATCACACGAAGTAAAGTAATTTTAATGCTTTTTACATTTTTCATTTTTGGAAGGCATTTAGAGTTAGAGTATCATTTTGTACTGCTTGAGCCAATTCAATATGAAAAACATGATTTTTCGTGCGGGCGAAATGGTCATTTTCTTTAAACACGCCGAGAAAAAAGTTTGGAAATGCCTGTTGATGCAGGAAATCCCACGCCCAAACGGCTTAGAAGCATCTTTCTCAACTCTGCCACAAGCATTTGGGAAGTTCTTCCAAAATGGAACTTGTGATGGAAGCATTTTGCCTCCACTGGAAGCTTCGCGCCCACTTCCAACGATTTTCGTTGGTTCCTCCATGGGATTTGTCTTTTTGGGCAAAAGCGATTGGCTTCCATTGTTTCAAGTTGTTGTTTTTTTTTGGGTATGCGCAAACGTAACAACATATTCTATCAACGTAACATCAAACTTATGTTCGCCCACGTAAACAACATGTGCAAGCGTAGCAACATATTCTATGAACGTAGCATCGTTCGCACACGTTAACAGCATGTGCAAGCGTAGCAGCATTTTTTACGGTAGCATGCCACAGGACGTTATTATTCCCACCCCACCCCACCCCATCTCTAACGTAGCATATCGTAGCATCATGTAGGTGTGCAAGTACGAAGGAACGCTATTAGCCCCATCCCATCCCACCCCACCCATCTCTAATGTAGCATCATGTAGGTGTGCAAGTGCCAAGGAACGCTATTAACCCCATCCCATCCCACCCCACCTCTAACGTAGCATCATGTAGGTGTGCAATGGTGTGCAAGTGCCAAGGAACGTTTTTGGCCCCACCACACCCTACCCCACCGTATACCGTGACCGAATCATACCTTGCACAACATCGAAGTATACGACAGCAAAAAGTAACAACCCTTCTGGGACGGGGAGTCAGCCGATAGCCGCAAACTTCTAGCAACAGAAAACGGGCAGACCTGTTTTGAAGACCTCATTGGTTTTGACCTCCTTGGCTTTCGTTTTCCTTTCTTGTCAAGCCATTGTTGGATGAATGGACTTTGATGCTTGCGTTTCGAAACCTGCACGGTTGAACCGGCGTAGTGATGTTCATCTGATTTTGACATTGAAGGAATGCGGCGCCCTCAACTCAAAAAAAATCAGACGGCGTTGGTCCCGGGAATCATCCAATTAAAAATCATCTTGAGGTGGAAAACCGATGGGTTTAGGGCAGCTCTTCCAAGAAAGGCCCGCAGCAGTGCTGAGGACCTCTTTTCCGCTGCGGGTCTTCCGCTCCGCGCATCGGTGGGTTTCCTGGTCTACCCCGCACTACAGGAGAAGCGTCGCTCGACCGTGGACGTGGGGTCGCGTTTGGTGGGACGCCCAATCACAAACCCAAAATGACGATTTTAGCGATGAAAAAAATGATGTACATTGCAATCAGGGGATAACCTGTTTTCGATCATTTTCAGGTTTGTTCATTTGTAATTTTCCCACATGGTAGAATTGGGTCGGTTGCGTTATTTTATGTTGGGTTTCCTGCCTTACTGTAGCTGCTGGTTGGGCCAGACGAGTTGGGGTGAATTTTGAGTTTGGCATGGTGTGGCGCTTAGGAAATGTCCAGCTGATTCTTCTGCTCTTTCTCCCCATCCTTCGTTTCTTGAAACTCCTGCGGTATTTCGACACTCGGCCATGCTGACGGATGTGGCGATGTAGCTATGGTCATGCAGACAGGCAAGTATATAGATTGTCACGGATGGTGTTAGAACAGGTTAGAACAGTTCTTGCATGCTATGTCAGTTGATATTGGGGAAAATGGCAGTGCATGGTGTTAGATATGATGTGCTATACAACTGCTACATTCTACTAAGTTTCTTGTCATGTTAAGGAAAACTTCTTGCAGGAAGCCTGGTTGATGAACACCGCACTGATTCCAACGCTGGCACCAAAAGACATCGGTGACAAAGAGTATTGCTTGGCATGCGCTGATTCCTAGTCTCTACATGCGGCATTTGTGCATGCTATCCTTTTTGATCCTTTTTGTGTGTTTGATCGAAAGTCTAAACTCTATATAAACAAATTTCCCCTCAGCGTTTTCATAAAACGTAACGCCTCTGTTCCATGGAGTGTCATTTTATGAGTTATAATATATTTTACCGCTATATGATTTACCTTCTGGGCACAAAAATATGGCACGCCAAAACCTCAATTTTATTGCCCTCCAGGAAACCTTTCGTTTATTGATCCACGCTGCTCGCAATGCCATGGCAGCGCTACCGGTGCTCTTCTACATCATGGTGGTCATTACCTTGGTGGTCCCCACCTGAGTTTGTCTAAACGTGGCATGTGGCATGTGGTAGTAAATGCACACTGATTTGCTGATACAATTTTATACTTCAGGGTGATATATAGTGATATACATATATATGGACATGTATACATATATATATATATATATGTGCATACACATATAACATAGACCCGGGCAAGCCGGCGGCGGAAGTTTCCCAAACATAAATGACCTATAGTTCAAAGACAACCTGTCCCGACCGTGTCCTTCCGTCGACACTCCACACCTCACACTGCACACTGCACTCTTCGCACTCCAAACTTCAAACTTCACACTCCACACTTCACACTTCTCACTTCTCACTGCTTCCTTCACACTCCAAACCTCACACTTCACACTTCACACTTCACACTGCGCTCTTCGCACTCCAAACTGAAACTTCACACTCCACACTTCACACTCCACACTTCACACTTCTCACTTCCCACTGCTTCCTTCACACTTCACACTTCACACTGCACTCTTTACGCCCCACACTTCACACTGCTCTAAACCTACGTGCAACAAAAAAACACTAGTGCCAAAATGGAGAAAATCTGCTAACAAATCCAGGTCGCAGCTTTCATGCAGCCACTCCAAGACGATTTCCGAGATCCAGCTGCAAAAGACAATAGTATTACGAATGCAGCCACAGCACGAAGCAACCTTGACGCAGCCATTACAATGCGATCTGCAGAGACTGAGTTGCAAAACACAATAGAACTACGCGCAACGGCGTCGGAAATTGTAGCTCCAAAACCGGATGATCTCGACGCCAGAGCAAAAAAAAGACGATTTTGAAGCACTTTTTAAAAGGATTTTTAGAAGGAAAATCACTAGTGCCAAAATGGAGAAAATCTGCTGACAAATCACTGTCGCAGCCTTCATGCAGCCACTCCAATACGATTTACGAGATCCAGCTGCAAAAGAGAATAGTATTACGAATGCAGCCACAGCACGAAGCAACCTTGACGCAGCCATTACAATGCGATCTGCAGAGACTGAGTTGCAAAACACAATAGAACTACGCGCAACGGCGTCGGAAATTGTAGCTCCAAAACCGGATCTCGACGCCAGAGCGAAAAAAAGACGATTTTGAAGCACTTTTTAAAAGGATTTTTAGAAGGAAAATCACTAGCGCCAAAATGGAGAAAATCTGCTGACAAATTACTGTCGCGGCCTTCATGCAGCCACTCCAATACGATTTACGCGATCCAGCTGCAAAAGACAATAGTATTACGAATGCAGCCACAGCACGAAGCAACCCCATTTACATTGCGGGAACGATCCTACAGTTGCAAAGCAGAATGGAATTCCATCGGCAACTCATCCACCAGCAACACTTGCAATAACATTTACATTGCGAGAACGATCCTACAGTTGCAAATCACAATGGAATTCCATCGGCAACTCATCCACCAGCACCACTTGCAACCCCATTTACAATGCGGGAACGATCCTACAGTTGCAAATCACAATGGAATTCTGTCGACCGCACATGCACGAAAAACACTTGAAACCCCATTTACAATGCGGAACCGATCCGACCATGGTCCGAGAATGATCCGACCATGGTCCGAGAATGATCCGACCACACACGAGACCGTCTCGCACCCGTCGCACCGCAGAGGTCGATCATCGACGTTCGGGGACGCACTTTGTATGGAAAAACATAGGGTTTCGTGCATCTGCTATCTCTCAAAAACGCATTTCGTGCGAGACTTCCTTCAAAACTCCATCGGCAACTCCTCCACCAGCACCACTTGCAATGCCATTCTAACTCTTTCTTTGACTAGCTCTTTCCCTGACAGTCTAAAAGTTACAATTAACTCTGTCCCTAACTAACTCTTTCCCTCACTAACTCTTTCTTTGACTAAATCTTTCCCTGATGAACTCTTTCCCTAACTAACTCTTTCCCTCACTAACCCTTTCTTTGACTAACTCTTTCCCTGATGAACTCTTTCCCTAACTAACCTTTCCCTGACTAACTCTTTCTTTGACTAACTCTTTCCCTGATGAACTCTTTCCCTAACTAACCTTTCCTTGACTAACACTTTCTTTGACTAACTCTTTCCCTGACATTCTAAAAGTCCGTAACACGGAAGTTTCTCCCCCTTAAATTTCCTTTGACAAACAGAGGTATATGTCATACCAAAATCAAAAATTAAACATACTCCAACTCTGAGCGTGAAATTCAATGAAATTCATGGGTTTTCCCTATAGCCAGTGCCCAACGGCATCCATTTCGCGATGCTGAGGCAGCAACGGCCATCTATTTGGTCGAGCCCTTTGGTCGGCAATGTTCGCATGGCTGAGTTGGATTTAGTAAATGGGTCATGATCCATATATGACTGGGGTATATCCTATAACCATTCAATGGAGTTCGCATCCAAGTAGAATGGCAATGGGATGTTCCATTGCATTGCTCGATGACCACAGGGGAAGTCTTTCTTTAAAAGCCTCCTGCAATATTCCCTACAATTCCATAGGTATAACCAGAGAACCCATAGGTTCAATACCGTGCAACGTCCCCTTAGCACATCTTGATTATGCCTTAAGGTGGCCAAGCCATCCAGTTGGTAAACGATTAGTTCGGGGGTTATAGTACCCACTATACATTGGGGAATCGTGGGGATTATCATAATCCTTTATGGGAATCCCCATTTCCATCCATTTCCTATCTTTGGAAAAATCTCAGATTTTTCCAGATCAATCCATACCACAGGAGCATACAGGAGCTAGTATCATAATCCTTTATGGGAATCCCCATTTCCATCCATTTCCTATCTTTGGAAAAATCTCAGATTTTTCCAGATCAATCCATACCACAGGAGCATACAGGAGCTAGTATCATAATCCTTTATGGGAATCCCCATTTCCATCCATTTCCTATCTTTGGAAAAATCTCAGATTTTTCCAGATCAATCCATACCACAGGAGCATACAGGAGCTAGATCCTATTGCTATTGCAACATTTTTGTGGTAAATCCCATTGGGTGATGTCAACCATTGGCTGTTGACATCACCGTGACTCAGGTCACGGACCAACATTCCCACCATGCACCATTCCTTGTGGCTGGCCATTGTGACCATGACCACGGTTGGCCACCTGGCTGCACCTGGGTGCGTCTGAAAATGCAGTATACTGTACCCCTCAAAACTGCCATGTGTTTAGTCAAAGTGGTGATGAACAACTAGATTTTGCGGGATGTGATTTCAGAACAACCCATTGAATTGAATTTAGGGCGTAGTGTTGGTGAATGTCTCCCAAAGGAAAATCTGTTGGTTTTCCCTAGGACAATGGTCTACAAAGGGTGGGTTTTCCTTTTTAGTATGTTCATATCTTGGTCATCAAGGAAAATGCACTATGCCAGTAGAAACTTCGCTGGCCGACTGGAATCCTCAGCCCCTGACATGTCCTCAAATCTGGCTCGGAATTACTTGTAAAATCTTGTAAATTATCCCAATGCGATGATGATCATTATTCATTATCTATATAACCTGCGTATATTTGGGTGATATACTAGACTTTGACTATTTGGCACCAGTTTAATACAGTACGGATAACTCCAATTTCACTCCAATTCAATGCCGCAGTAGGAAGTCAGCCCTGAAAAATATCTGCCTGTGGCGCCCTATTGTCCCATATATTTCCCCCCATCCAAATTTGCTGCTGTTATAATCAACCACCGAATTTTCCAGGTATTGCATTTGCTGCTCTAACATGCTCTAAGCATCCCATGGGCCATTGTCTCCCAGGTTATGGTGACTACTATCCCAAATCTTTGTTGGGCTACATCGTGGCGTCCATTCTCACCTTCGTCAGCGTCCTGTTTTTGGCCTTGCCGGTGGGGATCATCGGCAACGAGTTCACAGCCTGTTGGCAGAGTCGGCACCAGGTCCTCCTCAAGACGCGCGTGCGAAAGTGTTTGTTGAAGTGGGGCTACACCGTCACTGGACCGGAACCACGGTGAACCACAGATTTGGGACCCATGGTGACCCAACATCGAGGGGAAGATTGAAGCATACCAAAATTGCCAAAAAAATGGCAAAGTATAGGTGGTTTGCAGGATTTTGCAGCTAAGAAATTGCCTGAATAGTGCGAGATAGAACAGTTGCTAAGTTTTCTTTCCCATTTTAAAGGCCTTAAAATGTATACAGCTACTGGCAAATCATAATCCATGGGCTGAAGGAAGGTACACCTGAGAAGCTACCTCTACTGCAGACAATTCCATGCGCTCAAAGTTTGCACCGCATCATTCTATAATCATCATGTGGCATTAGTGGGTCAAAATTTCACATCAGGTAGAAGTTTTGTCGGTCGGTTTGCATGATGGTATGTGTTGTTACCGGTTGCTGTATCTTAGTACAGAAGAATTGTTTTTGGGCAATGAAGTGTTGTGTCAGTGTTTGGCATGTCTGACTCTTTGCCGAGGCCAAAGATTTGCAGCTCTTAATCCAATATGTCGATGTGGATGAAGATGGCTTCTTGACCCTCTCCGAATTTCTGGAATTGATTCAGCAGACCCTTGGCCAAGGGTGGTTTCATGGGGTGATGAATCCCATTGATAAAGGGTGTGCAATGTTGATGTGCCCTGATGCAAGATCTGGGTTCGTCCCGAAGTCGGCTCTGCAAGGAAGCGACCGATCAATCAACCACTCGTTCGATCATTCAACGAATCAAGACGCGAATGAATCAACCAATCAAACAAACAATCAACCAATCACTCAACCAATCAATCAAACAAACAATCAATCAATGAATGAATGGAATGGAATGGAATGGAATGGAATGGAATGGAAATGACTGAATGGATGGATGAATGAAATGAATGAAATGAATGAAATGAATGAAATGAATGAAATGAATGAAATGAATGAAATGAATGAAA